CATGTTCCCTCGTTGGAGGCTTGAGCACGGATGTGGCTGCTACGGGGTTCCCCGTAATACTATAATGACAATAAAAAAGGCCTGAAAGGCCGTCCTGTCCAGATTTGACAGGTAATTGAATTGGTTGGGCTTAAAAAAAAAAAAAAAAAGATGTCGGTGGACAGCAGAGGGGGAAGTAAAGATAACTTCTGCACCTGGCCGGCGGGTGTATGAAATGGGCGGGTGTATGAAATGGGCCTTGCAGCGTTTCTGGTGTCGCATCGACGTACGCTTGAGTTCACGTTCGCGGGTGCAATGCGCACGAGCATTGCAACACCCGCCATGTGCGGCGTGGCGCCTTTTCTCCTCTTTCCAATCATTGTCCATGTATTCCCAGCAAAGCCGCGGCAGAACCGCTTACACCCAAAAAAAAAAAAGAACAGCTTACACCACAGGACATTCCCACTGGAACGTGGGAAGTTCCATTCGATCAGGATGTACGAGAGAGCCTTCACGCCTTGGTCTGTTGTGCCCTGGCTGATAGTTTCGTCCTTTTCCGAAGGATTGTTTATGTGCTGTTCCAGCCCATGGTACACACATACAACTGTTAGGGCCTCGCCACACCAATGTCGAAACATCACGAAATTCGACATATGCAACCCGGAGGTTTTTTTTTTTTTTTTTTTTTTTTTTTTTTTTTTTTTTCACAACAACTGAGGAGAGGCCGGGGACCTCACAATTCAACCCGGAGTTATCCCGGCAGCATCAGCCCGTTTAGCTTAAGACTATGCAACCCTTAATAAGGCAAAACCTTTACTTTAAACCCTATCCGCTACCCATCCTACCGAGTCTAATTCTCAGAAAAAGAATAACCCTAATAGCAATATCTATATTTAGGAAAATCAACTTCAAGCCGACCAACTTCAAACTACAACAGATACTTACAACTATAGACCAAACCGTCTTACTTGAGAACCAATACAAAGCGGCCTATCCCGCGGCCTATTCGTCCTCGTGGAGTCAGAAACTTTTCTTCTCCCCTTCTATCAGCTTTTTTCCTCCTGGAGCCAGTCTGCCAGTCTCAGCTTCCCATCTGGGGAAATCGAAGAGAAGCAGTTGTTCTTAGCCCATGTCTGATTGAACCAAAAAAGGTTCTTTCGTAGCTTGCCAGTCTACGTGAATACATTGTCTGATCAGGCCCTTACTGGCCTCGCCGGACGGCACAACTTCCGGGACATTCCCTCTTTCGACAGGCCCTTAATAGCCCATGTCAGGAGATTTTCGACATTCACAGTTTCCACAGAAAAAACCTCTTCGCCACACAGCATGGGCCTCGCCGGACGGCACAACTAACGAAATGAAACGACCACCAGAGTCGCGAGGCCTCACGAAGCCCTGATCCACCGTTTCGCTTCGTTTTTTGCCTCACCGCCCCACAGCACACACGAAAACTCTCGCGACAACGCCCTGGCAAGAGTAGTGCGGGATTCGTTTCGCTGCGGTCCAAAATTTGTGGAGGCTACGGTCCAATTTTTTGGATGGACCTCGGTTGGAGTGATGCGGCACACTCGTGAGATTTCGCAGCTCCTCCAGCCGACCAGCGGAGGACCTACGAGTCTGCGAGCGCTCCAGGCAGGGAGGAGTYGGCACACTCGTGAGGCCTCGTGAACTTGGAGTCTGACAACATTCCCGACATTTTTCTGACAGAGGTCGTGTGGGTGCTGTGCGGCGACTCCTTCACGAAACGAAGTCATTTTCTTTTTCGTTTCGTGCACCGTGCGGCGAGGCCCCATGTCGAAGTGAAGAACTCACGAGTCGTATGCGCAAAAGAGACAAACTGGGGTGAAGATAATACAAGCGTTGGTGCGTTCTCTTTTTCGACATTCGGGCAAGAATTCGACATCCCCTCCGAGGACTGTTGAAAATGTCCAAGTTGCAGGCTGGGAAACGAGCCCTTCTGGATAGGAGGTGTCAAAACCCTTTCCCTGACAGCTCCTGTATTTTTTTTGCATCTCGGATTTCGACATGCTGTGTGGCGAGGAGAAAACTTCGAACGGAAGGCCCG